TAAGCATGACATACATCATTCATTGTGCAGGCTTTGCACATCATGAAGGAGGCCTTCGCGGCTGTGGACTGTTGACGGGGAGCCAGAATTTTGGAGAGTAGCCTGAGAGGATCGGAGCCTCGCTCTTGTCTCGGCCGAAACAGGAGATTCTGATTCTGCGCGAAAGCAGGCGGAGAGGATTGGAGCCTCGCTTTTGTTTCGGCCGAAATCCATGGAATCTGGCGCGAAAGTAGGCTGAGAGGTTCAGAGCCTCGCTCTTGTCTCAGCCGAAATCCAAGGAAGCAGAATCTTTGTCCACGCAAGAACAACAAGTTTGTCTCCATGCTCTGGCTTTGGGCAGCTCCATGCCGATGAATGAACTCAAAATAATTCAACATATGATTGTTACCTGGTTTTATTTTTCTTTGGCTCAAGATGCACTTTGACAAGTTGATCCTTATTATATAGGCCCAAGCCTGCATGGCGGCTGTTAGCATCCTCCCGCTAGCAAGGCACTGTCCTTTGAGCATGGCTCACAAGCCAGGCCTGCTGGGGAAATCGTCGAGCAAGTTCAACAAGATGACACGTGCCTGGCGCGAGGTGCCAGCAGCCTCGGGGTACAATAAGATCAATGTCAAGCCAACTACTACGTCAAGCCATCCACCTCAGCTCCAAGGTGGGAAAAAAGAGATGGCTTCGCCAGGGGTCAGCGAGAAGCACATCCCTTTCACAGGGGTCACCCAGAATCAGATCCGGAAGCGCAGCAAAGCCTGCCAAGATCTCCTTCAGCAGACACGGGAAGAGGTGGAATGCCTTGACCTAAAGCCGGTGGTCCGTTGCGAGCTCATTGAGCTGGCTGAAAGTTATTTGCCTGACCCGGCTAGTAATGTTCCCAAGGTGCTTTGGGAGGATAATTTCTACTGTGCCAAGGAACGGATCCGAAGGCTCAGGGAGAGCCAGGTCTGGAGCGTAGGCTGAGAGGTTCGGAGCCTCGCTCTTGTCTCGGCCGAAATCCACGGATTGATACTGAGACGCGCAGCTTGCCCTGTTTGCTAGCCAGAGTGACATGCGATGGAAGCGTGCACGAAAAAAGATATGAAGTTATTAAGAGTTCAAATGAACCTCACATGGACTTGCTGCTGTTCCCGTGTGGGCTCAGGTTGTTCTTCTGCGTGCTCGAGAACGTCGGTAATCTTCGTTGCGGCAAGCTCCGGCATGTGATGGAATATGTGACTCATGACAGGGTTTCTGCCCGTGGTTTCGGTTCCCATATTATTTATTATTATGCGAGGCTAAGCATGAGGAAAAACGTCGTCAGAGTCAGTCCCTGGCAGGAGTGTGCAAAACGAGACCTTTCGCTGCGCTGGGCAACAGTGACTGGGAAAATGGTGGGTGTCAGTGTATCTCGGTCGCAATTAATTTGTCGTTTTATGTCTAGACTCGGACGCAGTTTGCAGCATGAATGTTCAGGTCTGGCGTGAAAGAGTTTTTCTGCTGTGCTGCAAGCGTGGCAGAGAGCAAGAGTTGTTCCAGGTGCATGCTGCAGTCGACATTGATTTCTTATTATTTCTCATTGCTTAGCAGGTAATGTATGGTAACCGTGCTGCAAAGTTTCATTGACTGACCGCCTGTCTCGATCAGTTTTACGACTTCCTCGATTGCGACACCACGCACCAAAGGGCAGCTAAGCCGTGGAACACCAAAGGAAAAATACCACTGCACCGCTGGATGCAGAAGAAATGCAGCGCAGAAGATCTGTTGCGACTGCGAGCTTGTGGCAACATCGTCATACCTCGTTGTGGCGAGCTAGCGCTGAATGCCCTGGGGCACAGCTATGTCCTTTGAGCTCATTGTGGCATGATGCTCCTTTCCCAGGCAGGCCGGGGCTTTACAGATACTCTGCAAAGAGACACTCGACAGCGAAGCTGAATGTGCTTTAGATCTTGAAATAAGAGTGAGTGCTACCTAGCTCTGGAAAAATATGAGTCTCAACGCTATATTTTGTGACACAGGAGCTATGTTTTGTGACTCAGGAGCTATTTTTTGTGACACAGGAGCTAAATTTTGTGACACAGGAGCTATGTTTTGTGACACAGGAGCTATGTTTTGTGACACAGGAGCTATATTTTGTGACACAGGGCTATGTTTTGTGACACAGGGCTATGTTTTGTGACACAGGAGCTTATTTTGTGACACGGACGGACTCCTCACGTCACAAAATCGCAGGCCAAGCCGGGGCCAAGGAGGTGAGAAGACCTATAAATTGTGACACAGGAACTATATTTTGTGACACAGGAGCTATGTTTTGTGACACAGGAGCTATGTTTTGTGACACGGGACCTATATTTTGTGACACAGGGCTATGTTTTGTGACACAGGAGCTTATTTTGTGACACAGACGGACTCCTCGCGTCACAAAATCGCAGGCCAGGCCGGGGCCAGGGCAGAGGGTCAGGGCCAGGGCCAGGAGCAATATTTTGTGACACAGGAGATATGTTTTGTGACACAGGACTATGTTTTGTGACACAGGGCTATGTTTTGTGACACAGGAGCTTATTTTGTGACACGGACGGACTCCTCACGTCACAAAATATTGCACGCCAGGCCGGGGTCAGGAGGTCCTAGGAGCTATGTTTTGTGACACGGACGGACTCGTCCCGTCACAAAATCGCAGGCCGGGGTCTGGAGGTTGCCGGTCGGCCCAGCTCAATCCGCATGCTTCGTTTTGATATGTGTGTTGTTTATACGGAGGGGGGCCCGGCATCACGAAAAGCATGCTTCCAGCATGGCCAAACCCAAGAACGGGGGGGTCAGCGCCCCGTTCTTGAGTTTGGCCATGCTGGAAGCATGCTTTTCGTGATGCCGGACCCCCCTCCGTATAAACAACACACATATCAAAACGAAGCATGCGGATTGAGACACAGACAGGCTTCGCAAACTGCTCCCGCTGAGCTGGGCCGACCGGCAACCTCCAGACCCCGGCCTGCGATTTTGTGACGGGACGAGTCCGTCCGTGTCACAAAACATAGCTCCTAGGACCTCCTGACCCCGGCCTGGCGTGCAATATTTTGTGACGTGAGGAGTCCGTCCGTGTCACAAAATAAGCTCCTGTGTCACAAAACATAGCCCTGTGTCACAAAACATAGTTCCTGTGTCACAAAACATATCTCCTGTGTCACAAAATATAGCTCCTATGACCTCCTGACCCCGGCTTGGCCTGCGATTTTGTGACGTGAGGAGTCCGTCCGTGTCACAAAATAAGCTCCTGTGTCACAAAACATAGCCCTGTGTCACAAAATATAGCTCCTGTGTCACAAAATATAGCTCCTGTGTCACAAAATATAGCTCCTATGACCTCCTGACCCCGGCTTGGCCTGCGATTTTGTGACGTGAGGAGTCCGTCCGTGTCACAAAATAAGCTCCTGTGTCACAAAACCTAGCCCTGTGTCACAAAATATAGCTCCTGTGTCACAAAATATAGCTCCTGTGTCACAAAACATAGCTCCTATGACCTCCTGACCCCGGCTTGGCCTGCGATTTTGTGACGTGAGGAGTCCGTCCGTGTCACAAAATAAGCTCCTGTGTCACAAAACCTAGCCCTGTGTCACAAAATATAGCTCCTGTGTCACAAAATATAGCTCCTGTGTCACAAAACATAGCTCCTGTGTCACAAAACATAGCTCCTGTGTCACAAAATAAGCTCCTGTGTCACAAAACATAGCCCTGTGTCACAAAATAAGCTCCTGTGTCACAAAACATAGCCCTCACAGAAAACAAGCTCCTGTGTCAGATAAATATAGCTCCCGTGTCACAAAATATACTTCCTGTGTGACAATATATAGTCATAGCTCTTATGTCACTGTATCATAGCTCCTGCATCACCAATCAAATAGTCTTAGCTCCAGTGTCACAAAGCTCCCCGCTTTGCAGAGGCTGACTTCTGCAAGAGGTATGCTACAGCGTGTTTTGCAGTGGTTCCCAACAAACATGACAGGTTCTTCATGAATTTGTCAAGGGTGGAGGCCTGAGGGTGAAGGCGACCGAAAATCGAAAATAATTGAGGTGCGGCATGGACATTTAGGACCATTGCTTGCGAGGGGAAGGTATTAGTGTGAGCCGCAGGCAATGTGTATCCAGTATTTCCGGTTGTGCCATACAGGGGCCGCCCACGTCACAAAATACAGCGCCCGCGCTTCGGAGCGAACTCGGCAATTTTGCAAAGCTTCCGGCGTTCGAAACTGAGGGGACTGAAAATAAAAATAATTGAGGTGCGGCATGGACATTTAGGACCATTGCTTGCGTGGGGAAGGGATTAGCGTGAGCCGCAGGCAATGTGTATCCAGTATTTCCGGTTGTGCCATACAGGGGCCTCCCACGTCACAAAATACAGCGCCCGCGCTTCGGAGCGAACTCGGCAATTTTGCAAAGCTTCCGGCGTTCGAAACTGAGGGGACTGAAAATAGAAAATAATTGAGGTGCGGCATGGACATTTAGGACCATTGCTTGCGTGGGGAAGGGATTAGCGTGAGCCGCAGGCAATGTGTATCCAGTATTTCCGGTTGTGCCATACAGGGGCCGCCCGCGTCACAAAAACAGCGCCGGGGGATTGACACGACAGGTCGAGGTCTAAGTTAGTGCAAAACTTTGCACACCTTGTATATGTACTCGTACAGTATGTACACGTATTTTCCATTTGTTTTCCTGGCCGGTATTTACATGTGCATTTGTTTTACTTGAAGAGCTCCCTAATTCGTTTGAGCCCAATGTGCTGACTTCGCTACTCCGCAGGCGCTTGTGTTTGAGTGAAAATTAGCATGGTAGCGGAGCGCTTACCGGTTCATTCCTTTGGGTCTGGCCGACAAGCGTCTCCTGGGAGCCGAAACCTCACTCCCTTGCTACACGTAGCACAACGAGCAACATACACGTGCAGCCTTCGGGGTTCTTTGGAAGGGCCCAGGCTTTTCAAACTTGGAGTTTGTTTCTTCGGTGAAAGTAGCGCCTCTCGTCCTTAGCTTGCAGTGATGGCTGCATTGCCCGCGGCACAAGCTGTGCCAGATGATGACGATGACGACCTTGGGGGTCCAGTGCTCCCTCCTTTGCAGCCGATACTTGAGACTGTGTCTGGCAATCCTTGGCCCGCTGCTGGCAGTCCTGTCTCGAGCGATCAGGTGACCGCGTTGTTGCATCAGCTGGGCAACACAACAGCTCTCCTGGGTCAGGTGATAGGGCAGCGCAGTGCCAGTGATTCTTCGGTGTCGGGACTTACAGGCAAAGACATGTCTCGCATCATGCCCCGTCCAGAGCCCTTCCGTGCTGCAACGAGGGAACAAGAGCATTCTGCTTGGCCTTCATGGCTTTGGTCTCTTGAGCAGTATTTGACTGTCTTAGACCCCAAGTTCGGAGAAGAGATCGATCAGCTGAAATCAAACTTGCACCGGCAGGTGAACATTTCTCCCGCAGCCACAGACATCGTCGCGCGCTCGCGGCAGCTCTTCGCTTTGCTTTCGGTGTTGGTAAAGGGACGTGGGTTTCTTGTGATCAAGTCGGTCTCTGGGAACTGTGGGTATGAAGCCCTTCGGCAGCTCATTTCCTTGTATGCACCGCAGAGCAAGTCACGCAGCCTTGGCATCTTGACGGCCCTGACACAGGTCAGTGCTTTTAAATCTGGCGAGGCAATGTTTCCACAGATTCTTGAGCTTGAACGGGTTTTTACAGAGTACGAGAGCGCTTCGCAACAGCTTCTTCAGGAGGAGCTCAAGACGGCGCTCCTTTTGCGTTGTTTGCCCGCTGCTTCGAGAAATCAGGTTCATGCCACCCTTCCAGAGGATGCTTCGTATGCTGCAGTGAGGGACTGTGTCTTGCGCATCGAAAGGCAGCAGTTCAAGTGGCAAGGCGTTTCATACTTTGGTGATGTTGCGCAGGGTTCAGGTGCAGGGACTGGCGATGGTGCCACTCCTATGGAAATCGACCGTGTTGCCGGCAAAGGCAAGAAGGGCAAAGGCAAAACGAAAGGCAAGGACAGCAAGGGCAAAGGAAAGCATGGCAAGGACAACAAAGGCAAGGGTCATCATGGCAAGGACAAAGGTCAGTCCAAAGGCAAGCAAGGTGACAAGCCTGCAGCTGATAAGTGCTTGTACTGTAACAAATCTGGCCACTGGAAGCGCGATTGCAGGAAGTACAAGGCCGATTTGAAGGCAGGCAAGGTGCAGGCTGTGTCCGAGGAGTCGGGATCTACCGTCTCGACGGTGACTCCGTCTCAGAGTGCCTCTCAGGTTGGTGCAAAGGGTCGGGTTGCTAGGCTTGCGGAGATAGACCTTACAGCTTTTGATGAGTGTGATGAGGAGTTTCTTGATGGAGACACCCGCGTTTGCATGATCCAGTGCAGCATGGAACGAGTTGAGCACTTTTCGATCAGTGACCCCTCTGAGGTTCGTTGCAACGCTTGGGATACGATCTGTGAGTACGAGCTTTTGAGCCTCCCGAGTGATGTGCTCTTGAAGCTGTGTGAAGCCAAGCAGCTGGAGTGCCATGCGGATCATTCCAAATCCCTTGCAGATCCTTCAAGTGCCATGCAGATCATTCCAGATCCCGTGCAGATTCCTTCAAGTGCCCTGCAGATCAGTCCAGATCCCTGGCAGATTCCGTCAAGTGCCCCGTGCATCAGGTCAGTTGTGATGCCGATCAGGTAACGCCTCTCAAGCCGTCTGTGTATGTGCATGGCAGTGTCCGTGCTCTTGCTAGTGTCAACGGTGAAGACATCATCCTGGACTCAGGAGCGGATATCAGTGCACTCCCTGAGACGTACGCCCAGGTTGGTGAGCCTGCTCCATCGTCGGCTCAGAGGTTCGTCGATGCTTCAGGCCGTTTGCTGCAGTCCAAAGGCATACGCATTGCAGAGGTTCGTGTTGGTTCCATCAGGTTCCGTGAAAAGTTCTTGATCGGAGGAGTTACTTGCCCTCTCCTTTCTTTGGGCAAATTGTACAAGGCAGGATTTTACGTAATCCCCTCCACTTCAGGTGACAGTGACTTCATCCTCACCAACGGTGATCTGTCCGAACCGGTCAGGTTGAAGAGGCAATCTCTATGCGCAACGGGCAGTGTGCGTGTCCTCAACGCTCTACCTTCAGCAGTGCGGGCGGTGAGTGCAGCATTGCATGGTCCTTTGCTCCGTCTTGACGCGTCAGGGTGGCAAAGGATAGGTTCCAGACGCTATGCGCTTCTAAGTTTTGGTCAGTCTTATGTCGACAGCACGCTGATTCCCTTGACTGAGTTGCTTTGGTATCGCACCACACTTGTGCGCAGAGATGGCCGGTGGACTGTTGCTGAGTTGGCAGCCGATGTGAGCTCTTTGACGGATCGTACGTTGCCGCTTGGGCCCCCGGCTGTCGAACAGGTTATCACCATTGCGTATGACGATGCCTCCCTAAGTCCTGAGAGCCTAGGGTTTAGTCCTTCTGATTCCGATGACGTGCCAGGTTCCCAAGGTGCAGGTTCTGTTGAGGCTCCAGAGGTTCCAGTGCCAAATGCCGCCGATCAAGGTCCAGAGGTTCCAGTGCCAAATGCCGCCGATCAAGGTCCAGAGGTTCCAATGCCGGATGCCGCCGATCAAGGTGCAGGTGTAGGCGGACTTGAAGGTGATAGCGATCTCCCTCCGAGTGCTGATCAAGCGGCTCCAGTCGCTCCTGCGGCTGATGGAGGTGGAGAGGCAGCTCCATCTGAACGTGAAGTCATTGACAGCGTCACTGTGAACGGTGTTGTGATTGACCGCAACTCTTCGCTTCGGGTCATGCGTGCTGCCCTTGTCAGCCTTGGCTTAGGTAAGAATGGGTCTAAGAGCCAGTGTTGGGAGCGCTTGGTGCGCCATCTGCGTGAGGCCGATCTTTTGCGTGAGCATCAGGTCCATCACAACTTGAGCGCCGAGCTGAGTCGGCCACCACATGCACCACCAGTTCCTGCAGCTCCTTCGGACCACGACCGTGCACAGCATGTGCTGACACATGAACCGTACCAGCCCTGGTGCGATGCTTGTGTCAAGTTTCGAGGAAGACAGGATCGCCACCCGTCTGAGGCTTCGCATGATCCTGGCTCTCGGTCTGTCCTGTCTTTTGACTTTGGATACTGCTCGAGGGAAGCCGATGACGGTGTTCGAGAAGCCAAGGACCGCCTGACAGTCTTGTTTCTTCATGATCGTCACACCAAAGCCGTGCATGCCATTCCCACGGCTCAGAAGGGCGGCAGCAGCCTCAGTCACTTGGTTACAGAATCCGCGAGGTTTGCGATATGGTTGGGTCACCGGTCCCTCAGACTCCGATGTGATAATGAACCCGCTATCCTTGCGGTGCAAGCCGGTCTCTTGAAGGCCCTTCGGAATCTTGGTGTTGACGTGTCCAAGGACACCGCTCCTGTGGAGTCTCACCAGAGCAATGGTCCGGTTGAGCAGGTTGTTGGGAGCATCAGGCAGCATGCCGCTGTGCTGATGCATGATCTCGAGCAAGCTTGTGGAGCCAAGGACGATCAAGTGTTGTTTCCACCGCTGCATCCGATCTACGGATGGGCTCTTGCCCATGCCTGCTGGCTTCGCAACCGTTACACGCCTGTGCATGGCACTACTCCGTACGAGGCTGTGACTGATTCGGCGTACAGCGGCACCATCTGTCGCTTTGGAGAAAAGGTCCTGGGATACCTCAAACCTGACGGCAAATCCTCGGCGCGCTGGCGCCATGGCCTCTGGCTTGGAAAAGCTATAGGCAATGACACCCACATTTTGGGTTTGGTCGGTGGCGTCTTCGTGACGCGCTCAGTGCGAAGGTTTGAAGACAATTTCGATCCGGACTTTGCAGCCAGCTTTGATGTGAGTGTTTTCGAGCACGGGCTCTCGTCCATAGGGGGGAAACTTGTACTTGGGCACAAGAAGCCAGCCGCTCCTGTTGCAATGCCTATCCCAGCTTACGTTGGCCCTCCTCCTTCACCACCAGCCGCTGCAGAATCGCCTCTTCCTCACGAGGCTCAAGGCTCTCCTTCACAGATTGCAGGCACCGACTCGCCAGTGCGGTCTCCAACATCCATCAACTATAGCCCTTCTGATGGCATGAGTGCCACGGAGGATGCTGCTCTTTCTGATCGTCACGGTGATGTGTTGTCCACTGACGCAGGTGAACCCAGCTCAGCCGAGGCGGGGATGCCCGCAATTCCTGCCGAGGCGGGGGCAGCTGCCTCATCCGCTCCTCTGATTTCTGAGGCTCTGGGCCTCAGTGAGAATCCTCGACCAGCCAAGGTCGCCCGCAGGTCTGATGATGACCAAGTGATGGCTCTTGAAGGGCAGATTTCTTTGATTACCGCCCCTGGGTGCTGTGCGGATGAAGTGCCAGCTGGAGATTTGCTTGTAACCTCTGGAGAGGAGTCTCCCTGCGTTGTGCACATCAGGCAAGTGTGCTATGAACATGAGGATGAAAATGTCACTTTGACGTTTGATGGTGACACGCTTGATGAGCTCGAGGATTACGACCAAAGTTTTCTTGAGGATCAGTCTGGTGACACTGAGTTGCTGCCTGAGCTGTGTCGGCCCCGCACTTCAGACATTGAGCCAGAGCTCTCTCCGGAGGAGCTCGAAGCTTTGGATGTGATTGCTGATGGAGTTGAGATTGCTAGGCTAGAGGGCATGACTGTGCTGCTTCCTGAGTCAGCAGCTCATAACGATGAGTACGCAGGTCAAGAGGCCACTCACCTCACCACGCGCATGGTGCGCACGTGGCGTGAGAAGGAGCTTGGTGGCTCCCCAGTTTGGTACCGACGCAGCCGGTACGTGGCCCGAGAGTATGCGTGGCTCAATGAGCGTCATGACCTCTTTTCGCCCGCTTCCACAGCACTTTCGAACCGCTTGCTGCCGATCCACTACCTGTGTCACGAGCCTGACCCTGATGATCCTTGGGTCATGGTCGCCCTCGACATCAGTGATGCTTACCTTAGCGTCAAGCAGACCCGCCTGGTCATTGTGCAACATGCAGGTGTCCGCTACGTGCTGGGACGAGTCTTGCCCGGACAGCGGGACGGATCCAAGGAGTGGTACTTGGCATTTTCCAGTTTTCTTGATGAAGCCTTGGGTTTTAAGAAGTGTGATGCTCTGCCCTCGTTGATTCGCGAGCCAGCTTTCAAGTTCAGTATGCAGATGCATGTCGATGACTTGTTGGGTGCAGGCAGCAAGCGCTTTCTTCTTGAGCGCCTCCGGCCCACGCTTGAATCAAAGTATTGTGTAAGCATCCGCATCCTTGAAGCTTCGGGGGACACGATTTCGTTCTTGAAGAGGCATCACACACTTCTTGCTGACGGTAAAATGCTGCTAACACCCTCGGCCAAGCATTTTGAAAAGCTGTTTTCTGTGATGAAAATCGATGAACGGAGTGCCCCGAAGAAGACTCCTTATGCGCCGCAGCTTGATGAAATAGACAACAGCGAGCTTCTCACGTGTGCAGATGCAAAGGCTTTCCGCTGTGCCATTGGCATTCTTTTGTACTTGGCAGTGGATTTGATCGAGTGTCAGGGTGCCATCCGTGCGTTGAGCAGCTACATGACTTCGCCAACACGCAATGCACAGGCTGCTTTGAGGCATCTGTTGAAGTATCTTCTTGAAGGCCAACACCATGGTCTCTTGCTTGATCGCAGAAACTGTTACAACGGAGTTTCCGGCGAGATTCCGAGACCGAGCCAGCCGATCTTGTGCTTAGAAGCCTTTTCGGACGCCAACTGGGCGGCGCATCGCGGCTCTCGCAAATCGGTTAGCTCAGGGATGGTGTTCGTAGCAGGTTGCCTTTTGTACAGCTCTAGCCGGACACAAAGGGTGATAGCTTTGAGCTCAGGGGAATCGGAATTGCTTGCGGCGACGTCTACACTTTGTGACGCTTTGTTTGTTCGGCAGCTGCTCGCTTTCATTGCTGACGATGAGCCACCCCAGATTCATCACTTCCTCGATGCCAGCGCTGCCAAAGGCATCATGGAGCGAAGCGGCGTCGGCCGCGTCAGGCACTTGAGCGTCCGAGTCTTGTGGACTCAGCAGCTTGTTGCAGATAAGATCATCATGCTTCGCAAAGTTGCAACATCGATCAATGTGGCCGACCTGAACACCAAAGGCCTTTCTCGGAGCCGCATGCTCATGCTTTTGCACATCATCGGTTGCTGGCATACTGTGTATGAGTGCTTTGTTGGAGAAGATGAGATTGCTGATCTGCGCTACAAGCAGGCAATGAAGGACGCTGTGCGTGCCGTCCGCTCCACATCGAGTGCGTCCGTGAGCAAGCCTATGATTCAGGCCATTGTCATCGCTGTTGTGAGCGCCTTGAGTCGTGCTGCGGATGATGCTGACGGTGACAACGGCTTGGATGACTCAGGAGCTGACCTTCCTGACTGGGCCAACCGGGTCCTTGTGTGGTTCTTGGGACTGTGGGTCCGCGATGACACTGGTGTGTCTGTCATCGACATGCTTGTGCAGCCCCATGCTTTGATCCTTGCGTGCGTGACAATGCTGATGCTTGTGTTGTGCATCCGCACTTTGTGCTGCAGGGCATCTGATCGCGGCCAGGTCAATGTGCAGATCGCTGGCCCTCGTGATCATGTTTCCTTTCAGTTTGATCGCCAGCTCAATTTGCATGTTGGAGTTGGTGCGCCTGGGACCCCTACGAATCCTTTGTCTTTCGACTTTGACGGTGATGACAGCCCTCCACATGTTTTGTCCGCGCTACGCAAAGGTGCAAGGTCCAAAGCTTCTACCAGACCAGGTCCGAGGTACGACGATGAGGATGCTCCTCATCCCGACGCGAGTTCGTCAGCAGCACCGCCCACTGGTGCGATGAATGCAGTGCAGGCTCATGTGCCTCCTGCTGACCATGCATCAGCACCTGGAACACCAGCAGAATCCATGAGTTCGCAGCTTTCGACGCAGTCGTTCCGCGAGCTGCACGGGTACCCTATCGCTGTGGCACGGAGGATGAACCACCGTGGGAGCCTCGTGTGGGTGTCGCACACAGGCCACTGCTACCATCGTCTCCGGTGCTTTAAGCTTGATGGGTGCGATCGTGTGAAGGCGTACGAGCGCCACGAAGCACAGAACCGCGGACTCCGTGCATGCAAGAAATGCAATCCTTGAGTGACGGTGCATGATGTGTGTGCAAAGCCTCTCTTGATGGCCACTTGAAATGCTCTTGATGCGATGCTTTCTTGGTGTCAACACTCGGCGTGTTGATACCATGGGGCATCTTGTATATATCCACCTGTATTATAGCTTGGATGCTCATGTTGCTGGGTCCTGGACCCTTCTGTCAACTTCAGGTGCCGATGATCTTGAGCATATACTTGTATGGCTTTCTTGAATGTGCATATGGTGCATTTTGCACCATCAATACTTGTGACGCATGCCATTTTGGCAAACCCGAGAATATGTGCACTTTGAGTGCACTGCTGACACTTGCAATGGCGATGATGCATTCCGCCAATGCTGGACCTTAATTAGGAGGTTCTAATACTTTTAGTCGTTGGTTGTAGGCTTCCTTCGGCTGTTTTGCGTACAGGGCAGACACTTTCTTGATTATCAACTTGTGTTTGCATGATCCCGCATGAATCGCGCTTTCCTCACACTTTTTGCGTCCTGCTGCAAGTCAGGTTTTCTTCACTTCTGTTGAGCGCTGCCAGTTTGTTGCTTCACGACCGCGGGTCCGCTTGCCTGAGTCAAGCTTGCAACAACAGGAGCACACTGCTACGGCGAGTGTGTTTCTGTTTCCGTAGGCAGCTGGTGCCACTGCACCCGTAGGGTAGCAGGTAGCTGTAGCCAGTTCAAGCCAAAGACCTTTCGGCAGTGCTTGTGAGCAGAGGTGCACGTTCGTGGGAGCAGTAACCACTAGTTACTTTGTTGTCGTATTCGTCATACCGGCCCTAGCGTAGCTTTGAGCTTTCGTACAGTGTGGCTTTGGAAGTCGCAAAGTTATGTGAAAGCATTGGCCTTAGTTGGACTTCGGCATGCTTTAGGCGGGGTGCAAAACTTTGCACACCTTGTATATGTACTCGTACAGTATGTACACGTATTTTCCATTTGTTTTCCTGGCCGGTATTTACATGTGCATTTGTTTTACTTGAAGAGCTCCCTAATTCGTTTGAGCCCAATGTGCTGACTTCGCTACTCCGCAGGCGCTTGTGTTTGAGTGAAAATTAGCAGTTAGGCTGAGAGGATCGGAGCCTCGCTCTTGTCTCGGCCGAAATCCAAGGAGAAAAAAAAGCTGAGGCATTGAACAAAGTGTCATGAAACTTGTCCGCAGGTACGCTTTGCTCCGGCCCAGAGTTCTGGAAAGTAGGCCGAGAGGTTCGGAGCCTCGCTCTTGTCTCGGCCGAAATCCAAGAAGAAAAGCAAAGCCAAAGTTCTGGGAGCCTCGCTCTTGTCTCGGCCGAAATCCAAGATCAAAAGCAGAGGCGCGGCATTCGCAAAGTGTCATGAAACTTGTCGGGCAAGGCAGCTTAGGCTTTAGGAAAGGCTGCAACACAGCCCCAGACAGACAGACATACAAACAGACAGACAGACAGACAGACACGACAGAGGCTTTGTTGTTTCCCGAAACGAAACCAATAATTATAGTACCCAAACCATCTCTAGAGTCCCGGGCAGGTACCTTTTGCTGTGCAATGTCGTGCACACCCAGAGGCCTGCGGTTTCAGTGGTGCAGCTTGCACTTTGTTTATCAGCCAGAGTTAGTTCTGGAAACTAGGCCGAGAGGATCGGAGTTGCGCTCTTGTGTCGGCCGATAGTTTTCTTTTATTTTGTAGCCAGAGGCAGAACAGTTATGGAAAGCAGGCCGAGAGGTTCGGAGCCTCGCTCCTGTCTCGGTCGTTTTGCTAGCTAGCCAGAGGCAGAGTTAGGAAAGTTGGCCGAGAGGTTCGGAGCCTCGCTCTTGTCTCGACCGAATCCAAGACCCAGCGATGGTCCTACCAGAGGGGTGTGGTGCTTCCCATACGAAGACACCTCTTCATGCCACTGGCCGGGCATGGGACTCCCGGGACTGGTCGTCTGCCACAGTTGGCCCGCTATCATCGCGACAGTCACAGTGGCCGAGACCCTTGGGGCCAACCAATCCACGGAAGGGATTGATGACAGCCAGGCGATGCGCTAATGCGCTGGCTGGGGGTCAGGGAGTGGCGGCACGGGGGATAGCTCCGGGACAGACCGGCTTTCGTCCGTAAACAGTCCCCGGCATGCATGGGAGGCTGTTCGTTGCTGCTTTTTGCTTTCCCGCGAGGTTTCATGTCATTTCGAATCTGGGTCGATGTCCTTACCCACAGTGAAAGCTGAACACCGTTGGCCGGGTGTTGGGACTGATGTGCCAAGTTCCTGTTTCTGGCCAACCCACAGAACTTCTGTGGATGACAACAGAGCAAATGGGCTAATGCGTCTGTTGGGCAGGATCCTGTGCTCACCCGTCTCGACGATCCTCTCCCCCTGACCGTGCGGCCGGCGGTCACATAGGGGTGCAAGCTTGCCGAGCGGGGACAGCGCCAGTGCCCTGTCGCCCACTTGGGGTGGAAGGGCGAGGGTTGCACAGTGCCATCAGATTGCAGGGGAGGCCCTTGGATCATTGGATCCAATGACAACTGTATTGTCGCAGACTGTGTAGTAGTAGTAGACTAATGACGACTGCATGGTCACATCAATTTTCAATAATTATTGCTGATTGCTTCCAACCAACATTAATAAGAATAATAATACTGAATGTTCAGTCACGGTGTCATGGATTGATTTATAGCTCGCGGATTGGTTGGGAAGAAGGATGAAACTTATTATTATGTAGGACGACATTGACTGAGAACCGAAGGCCGTAAGTTAAACCCTGGGCCCTTCGAATCAGAGTCTAATCAGCAGCAGCCTTGACCTGACCTGTGCAGCGGGCTGGCCGAGGGGGCCCTAGAGACCTGCCAGGTTCCACCTTGTGGCCGTTGGTGGGGGCAGCGATCCATCCGCCGGACCTTGTTGATGCCACTGACGCCACTGCGTGGCCACTCGTGGCGGCCACCCTTGAGGCCAACGCCCCAAAGCCCGGGGGTATGACAGCGGGGCGATGCGCTATGCGCCCGCTGGGGGTGGCCTCAACGGAGGACGGTGCGTCCGGACCTCCCCGGGGGGATCCAAAGAGGGAGGCCTAATAATAGTAGGCCGAGAGGTTCGGAGCCTCGCTCTTAGTCTCGGCCTGTCTTCATAATTTTGCTGTTAGTTATTAGTCGGCGTTAAGTAGTATTGACGTCCGGATATTAGGCCGAGAGGTTCGGAGCCTCGCTCTTAGTCTCGGCCTCAGTCCTGCCTGTCTTCATTTACTGTTAGTTAGTAGTCGGCGTTAAGTAGTATTGAAGTCCGGATAGTAGGCCGAGAGGTTCGGAGCCTCGCTCTTAGTCTCGGCCTTGTCCTGTCAAACTCCAGAGTCGAAGTCAGAATCAGTCCCAGTCGTATGTCGAAGCTATGCCTTAGCTAAGGAGTCGGAGTCGAATCGAATCCTTGGCCCGCTATCGCGACAGTCACAGTCCCCGGCATGCATGGGAGGCCGTTGGTTGCTGCTTTTTGCATTCCCGCGTTTAGTCTGTTTTTGCATCCGATCCCTTTTTCAGAAGTCAGTATTATTATTTCAACACAGAGGTTAAATCATGAGTGCTGTGTGGACTGTGTGGAATCCTTTGGTCACTTCTTGAGGTTTCATATCATGTCGAATCTGGGTCGATGTCCTTACCCACAGTGAAAGCTGTACACCGTTGGCCGGGTGTTGGGACTGATGTGCCAAGTTCCTGTTTCTGGCCAACCCACAGAACTTCTGTGGATGACAACAGAGCAAATGGGCTAATGCGTCTGTTGGGCAGGATCCTGTGCTCACCTGCAGCGACAACCAGGGGCCCCTCCCTCTGACTGTGTTTGGCAGTCATTGGCGGGGGCACGACACCGCCGTGCAGGGACAGCACCAGTGCCCTGGTGCCCTCTTGGGGTGTAAGGGCGAGGGTTGCACAGTGCCATCAGATTGCAGGGGAGGCCCTTGGGTCATTGGACCTGGATCCAATGACAATTATAATAATACTGTTACTACTACTCAGCAGACTCAGACTGTCACTGTGTAGTAGTATTAGGAGTGACTGCTGTAACGTTGACTGACTGCATGGTAATGGTCACGTCAATTTTCAATGTCAATCAATGAATGTTCAGTCACGACATATGACACGGTGTCTCTCACGAATTGACATTGATTGTCTTGTCAGTTATTATTATTATTACTCTTATTGTAATTACTATACAGATCTGATGTGGAATCGCTTATTATTATTATTATTATCATCACTTTGCAGACAGTGTCACTGTGGCTGTGTGGTTTTGTGGGAAGTTGAAATAAAATAAGATGATAAGACTAAGATCTATTATGACGTTGTCATTGTACGACGATTGACACTGAGAACCTAAGGCCGTAAGTCAAACCCTGTGAAGCAGAATCTAATCAGCAGCAGCCTTGACCTGACCTGTGCAGCGGGCTGGCCGAGGGGGCCCTAGAGACCTGCCAGGTTCCACCTTGTGGCCGTTGGTGGGGGCAGCGATCCATCCGCCGGAGCTTGTTGATGCCACACGCCTGCGTGGCCTCTCGTGGCGGCCACCCTTGAGGCCAACGCCCCAAAGCCCGGGGGTATGACAGCGGGGCGATGCGCTATGCGCCCGCTGGGGGTGGCCTCAACGGAGGACGGTGCGTCCGGACCTCCCCGGGGGGATCCAAAGAGGGAGGCCTAATAATGGATAGTAGGCCGAGAGGTTCAGAGCCTCGCTCTTAGTCTCGGCCTGTCTTCATAATTTTGCTGTTAGTTATTAGTCGGCGTCAAGTAGTATTGACGTCCGGATATCAGGCCGAGAGGTTCGGAGCCTCGCTCTTAGTCTCGGCCTCAGTCCTGCCTGTCTT